CCAGTCGTTGGGCCGCTGTTTCCAGTCATTCAAGTACTGCAATGCGTTCACCGATTTGGTCGATGTCTTCGTGTCCGCGTCCTTATCATCACCAGTGGTTTGGTTCACCTCTTGTTGCTGTTGTCGTTTCTGTTGTTTAGCCAACTTTTTGGCCTTTTTTCTCAATTTGATGGCATTCTTCGTGTTCTCGTCCTTAATCTTCTTCACGTCTTTGATGATACTGTCGGCGCGAATGGTGTCCTGTTCGGTGATGTCTTGGTTGACCACCGCTTCAGAGGTGTCTTCGCCGGCCACCTCTGACTGATTGTCGGCTATATTGTTGTACTTCTTGTAGTCGCGGTACTTCTTGAGCACCTGATCCTCAATGGACTCGTTGACCGGTGGCTTGTGTTTGCGTTTAGCCATCGATGGTCTGCCCGAAGAAGTGGTGAAGTGTTTGTTTGGTTGAGTCACTCATGCAATGCACGTGTGTTTTGAACAGACAGTCAATTGGTTCACAAATGCTGTCATAGAGTGCGCTGAATGTCAGCCAAAAGTTTTTGAAAGTTTGGTTCAATTATGAGTTGATTTTCAGAAGTGATTTATAAAACTCATGGAAAATTGCAATCATTTTATTTTTAAGGTTTCAAATTAAATTATAACTTATAATTTATAATATGAATAATGATTATTGTATTTGTGTATAAAAAACACCTTGAATAGTGTTAGCATTGGATTAAACTACACTACTTTTACTGAATGACAGCACCGGTATGAATGGAAAACAGAATTATTAAAAATGTTATAGTCAAATTATTAACAAAGTAGAAATAAATAGTATTTTATAATCAAATTAAGTGACTGCTATTGTATTGATTACTCTCTCATAGCAGGTTGTAGTCAACCTTTTGGTAGTCATCATCGATATGGCCAACAGTCCGACGGTTATCCGACGGCCCATAAGCGCCGACTGGGAATCGGCTATTATGAACCCACACACCAAAGTCATCGCATTGAGAAGTATACCATTGAATAGTGGATCACTCGAGTCGATGACAATCGGCACGACTTGATAACCAATAGCTCTAATGATAACCCATTAAACCACTACTA